AATGGATGGGATTGGTGATGCCAAGGAAGGTCAGGAGATTCAGGGGTCAGCAGGCTGCTAGTCTGAAGGGTAGGAGAAGCCTCTCAGATGCTGTCCCTTCCTCACCATGGATAGGTAGTCATTTGGGTGGATCAGTCCTGCCAAGGGATGGAGCAATGGGCTATCAGACATGGTGCCCCTTGGATACTGTACCCAGAGGTTCTAGAGAGTCACCACTGGTGTTCTGGCAATGGTGGGGAAGGAGGCCAGGGCTGGGTGTGTGCTATGGTCGGCAATGGTTATACAGAAGACACACCTTCGCTTTCTGCTGAAGTCCAGTGGCACTGGCTGTCGGGTGCCCCCTGCGTGTTGGGTGCAGGGCTCAGACCATGCCCGCCCGCCTGGTGTCTGTTTGTAAACTGCTGTTGCTGCTTAATAGCGTGATAGCCCTTTTTGCAGTAGTGAATGAGTTGGGCCGTGCCCAGAGGCCGGGGCTGGGGGGCAGGAGCTGCTGGCCAGTGTGACACCTCCACTCAGCCAGTCCAACTCCCCTCCCCTGAAATGGCCCCTGCTACGGCCCCTGGGGAGCGCAGCCAGCCCTGGGGAGTCTGGGACAGGGCAGGTGGGGGGGCAGAAGGGTGGACAGCACAGCTCTGTGCCCAGCCCTCAGCAAGCCAGGTGGCAGGACTGACCATGTCTGTGCCCACACTGCAAGCCACTGACAAGGGGGCCGAGCCAGATGCTCGACAGGGATCTGTCTTTGCTGCAGTGCTAACCCAAGCGCCTATTCGCATCACCCTCCCTTCCCATCCCCACACAAGCCTGATGGTGCTTTACACTTGCGCTAGCTGGCCTGGGCTATAAGCTAAAACCCGGGTGCTGATTATGCTTGGACTGGTAACCTGCCCACTTTGCAGTGAGGACGCCAGCTAAACCACTCATGTTCTGCTAGTCCTCTGACAACCTTCCCACAATCCCCTCCCCCCCATGTGCCCAGAAGGGCAGACAGGTTCCCCATAATTCACTGGGAACGCATCATAGACAGTGGCTCAGCTCGCTGCAGTGCAAAGCACCATGGGACGGGCCACCCCAGAAGTCCTAGTGACACACACAGCGAGCGCAGCACCAGATGCAGCTGCATCTGGCTTTGCACAGTGGCTGTTCACATCGGGCTAGAATCTGGGCACTGAGAACACCCCGCCTGTCGCCAGTGTTAGCTCTGCAGGGAAGATCTGCCCTGAGGTGCAGGTGGGGTAGGCGCATGGCAGATCATGGGGACAAGTGAAGCCCCCCTGTGGAATGGCAGGGATCTGTAGTTCCCTGATCTCAGGAGGAAGTCCCTTTGGTGCATGCCCTTGATTGGGAAAGACCCCATACGCCTTGCTCTTCCAGTACCCTGGGTACCCTCTGCTCGGGGCCAGAGCTGGGAGGCAGCAGAAGCGAGCCTGGAGGATGCAGCTGAGCCAACCCTGTGGGCACCTCCTGGCAGAAGCCAGAGCCCCAGACACCTCCTCAGGGCCTGGGTCCCATTTGTGCATGGCCTAGGGCTCTGCAATGAACTGCTTCCCCACCTCACCACCCCCAATGCCCACAGGACCCTCTCTGGCTCTGAAGCACCCATACGTGTTAATTCGATCCCCCGCCACAGCCCTGGACTGGGCGTTCAGCCCCCTTGCTCCAGAGCCAGCCGGGGGTGGGGGGGTGGGGAGGGAAGGGAAGGGTTAGTTACTGATTGGACCTGCTAAGGCCCTTCCCCAACTTGCCCATGGAGAAGGCAACTCCGGCCTCCAGGTCTGATTCAACAGGAGACCAGAGAAGTGCTTATATTCAACCCTCCCCCTCACACACACCAGCCCATCATCTCTCTCACACACACTCCCACCTCACACACACACACACACACGCCCATCTCTCTCTCTCTCTCTCTCTCACACACACACACACTCCGATCTCTTTCTCGCTCACACACACCCTCCGATCACTTTCTCGCTCCTGTCGCTCGCTTAAACACACACTCCCACCTCTCTCTCACACACACACCCTCCCGTCTCTTGCTTACACACATACTCCCATCTCTCTCTCTCTCACACACACACCCCTCCCACCCCCAGATCTCTCTCTCTCACACACACATACATATCCCAGCTCACACCCCCCTTCACCCTCCCATCTTTCTCACTCACACGCACACACCCTCCCGTCTATCTTACACACACACACACGCACCTCTCCCATCACACACGCACACTACATGTACACACCCCACATACATATCCCAGCTCACACACACCCCCAACACACCCACACCACCTTCTATTACCAGGGCCGACTCCAGCGTTTTTGCCGCCCCAAGCGATCGGCAGCACTTCGGCGGCAGCTCTACCGCCGCCGCTTCATCCTTCAGCGGCAATTCGGCAGCAGGTCCTTCCCTCCAAGAGTGACTGAGGGACCCACCGCCGAATTGCCGCCGAAGAGCCAGACGTGCCGCCCCTTTGCGTTGGCCGCCAGAAGCACCTGCTTGCTGCGCTGGTGCCTGGAGCCGGCCTTGCCCATTACATGCACAAACACACATACATCTCCCAGCTCTCACACCCCCCCCCCCTGCCCCTTCCGTGCACCCTCCCGTCTCGGTGCGGCCCTGCTTGTCACGGATCAGTCTCCCGGTACGCTCTGGCAGTGCAGTCGCCATGGGCCCGCCTGTGGCACCCTGCCACTACCACAGGGTTGGGGACTTCCCACCACCCTTTGGCCACACCGGGGTTTGCAAACCTTGCCTGCCAGTGACCGAGCTGGGACCAGCTGAGTCAGCAGATGCCAGTCAGCCTCCTGCTCCTGTCACAACACAGCCCAGTAATGCAGGTATGTCGGGGGGTTGATACCACAGCTAGCGAACAGCTGAGCACAGCTGGGAGATGAAGCCCAGCTGCCATCACTGGGCTATATACAGGCTTTGGGGGGTGGGGTGCTAGCAGGCTCCAGCATGCCAGGGAAACACAGCCGCCTGCCCCACTCAGCCCGTGGCTGTGGAAGGCTCACATTAAGAGGCGACCATGTCAGGGGATGTGGGGGGGGGTCATTTCCACCTGCCTGTTCCCAAGCCACTGAAGCTACTGCCCTAGAGGTGTCTGTGTCTCCATCAAACAGCCTTGCCATGGGCATCTGTTGGCAGTGAGTGGGCTGCCAGCAGAGCCCTGGCTAGGGGAGAGCTAGCTGCACAGGGTGTGACAGTGGCTGAACAGGGCTCACCGTGGCACTGGTGGGGCACAGAGGGTTAGGGCTGGGAGCTGGCCGGCAGCTTGGGTTGGACTGGGTCTAAGTGGATGCATTCTAGAGGCCAGGGCAGCTCAGCGGCAAAGCCTATCTCCCCAGGGGTCCATGGTGCAGCAGCGCCTGGCATACCAAGGACATTGCCTCCCTGCAGCCCCACCCAGCCCTTCACGCCGTTCTTAGTGCAGTATGGCTGCAGTGCATGGTGAGTCATTCGGAGCACATCTCGCCTGCCCTGACAGCGCCACCGCCTTCCGTCTCTTCTCTCCAGCACCCCCTGCTGCCTCCAGCTTGTCATGGAAACTGGCCAGACTTTGGGGGCAGTTAATAGCTTTCCCTTCTGGCCACCACTTGGGGGGGTTGGCTCCAACGCATTCATCTAAGGGGTGGGTGCTGTGCCAACCCCCATGCCAATGCCTACTGGTTTGCCTTGGGCAACCCCACCAACTGGCTCTGTTTCGGGCTGGCCTCACCTGTCCCCTGCGCCTTCCACTGGTGTGCACCTCCTCCCCAGGGGCAGATGCAAGCAAGAGCCATCCAGCCCAGGAAGCAGGTGCCAGGCCAAGCCCATCAGGGGTATCTGTGAGCACCCCTTCACAGGCCCCTGCCTGCCATCCAAGCCCCAGCCCCATATGGCCTAGCACTGCATGCTGATGAGAGCCTAACCAATGCAGCCACCAGAAACCCCACGGAGCAGGGGATCCGGAGCCTGACGGCGGCTCTCCTGCTGCCCATGTCCCTCCAGTTAAGACCAAATGGGTTAGGTCTCTGCTCCTCACAAGGCATCATGTGCTATGCCCACTTGCTCCCCATATGGGTCCCAGTGCCCAGCTGGCCCACTGGGGTCAGGGACAGGGAGAGGCTGTTCCTTGGGAAGGGTGATGGTGACAACAGCCGGGCCCAGTCGGCTTGACACCCACTGACACATGGAACACACTGACATTTGCTACATTTAGCGCTTGGTTCCCCCACTGGTACAGAGAGAAGTGCCCTCAGGATCCCTCAGCAAGGAGGGGAGCAGCAGGAGCTGGGGCTGCCCGAGTCCCCACCCCTGGGGGACGTGCCCTGGACATGGCTGGGCTCAGGCTGTCAGAGAACTGGCCCTGAGGAAACCCCCTTTACAGACAGGCCAGTGGCTCAACCAGGCTTACTGGCTTTCGCTTTATCTCCTGCTCCCCATCACAGACCGTCCTCCAAGCAGGATGGCAGTGGGGGATGGGGCAAAAGGGGCAAACCATAGCCTGCTTGGTATTAAACAGGCTGGTGCACGCTGCCCCCCCAATCTCTCCAAAGGCCTCCTCCATGGACTGGGCTCATGAGCCTTCCACCCAAACCCCAGGAGTCCGCGCCGCCAGCCCCCCCTCCAGGGAAATCACAGGAGAGTCACCGGGCCTGAGCACGGACACAAAGAGCCAACAAAAGAGTGACAGTGGGCAATGCTGGAGGGCAATGCTGCTGCAGTGCCAGCTGGGATGGTGCTGGCCCCATGCTCTCTCACAGGGATCCTGTAGCAAGATCCCGAGCCCCAGCGCCCACCCTGCCCCAGGGAACAATGCACCAGTTTGCATATCAAGCCTTGACAGTGATAGGGGCCCCCGATGACCCCAAGAGCCCCACACCTGCTGCCCGCAAGATGGCCACCCTTGTTGCTTATTAACTACAAACCACCCATCACTGGCAGCCCCACCCCATCCTACCCCCCACCCCACCCCCACACACCCAATGGCTGTGATATCCCTGCTGAGCCCCTGCTGCCCGCAAGATGGCCACCCATCCGTGTGTCCAAGACTCGGTGCCGATTCCCTCCCTCCTGTGGCTTCCTGCTCTCATCCCTGTGAAAGTCCCTGCCCACCCCCAACAATGGGAAGAGCCTCAGCGCTCCTCCCAGGCCCCACTGACAAAGCAGGGGCACAGTGCAGAGTGCCAGGGGAAGCAGCCTCCAACCCAATCATGGAAGACGTGACGGGGAGGGGCCGCCATGACACACATGGTCCTTCCCGGCCACCAAGCCGGGGCCTTTCTGTCTGGCTGTGTCTGCACTCTGGCCTTTCCTCCAGGGTTTAGCTGTACGTCGCATCCTCAGTATCAGTGAGTACTAGCAGTGTGAGTATTTTTTGCTTCGGGAGACACGGCTCCTGGTCCCTTTTCACACAAAAAGGAATCCCCATCCCCCCTTGACCCCCATTCACCAGTGGGGCAAGGAGCCGGGGGTGCTGACATCATCGTTGCAGGCTGTACGGAGCAGAGCGGTGTCGCGAGGACCAGCTGTCCCCTCATTCCCACTGAGCCCTCATCAGACACAAATCTCTATTGCTGTGGCCAGGACCATCTGCCCTTTGCCTTTGTCCTGCCGCCCGTCCGTCCGGCTAGCTCCCCCGGGGGAGGGTAGGCCTGGCTCGGAGGCAGAGAGCCGGGGGCCACTGCCTTCCGTCAGGATGGTTCTCTTGAGCGGGGTGGGGGTGCAGGAGCTGGGCGTCTCATGGCGGTGGGGGCCGGCGGAGAGCTTATCTCCGGCATGCTTGCGGGAGCGGTAGGAGGGCCGGCGGCGCACCTCTGACATCAGGTCATACTTGATGAAGTAGAAGACCTCCTTGACGGGGCAGCGCTTCTCGGGGTCCAGGGCCAGGAGACGCTGGAACATGCGCAGGGCGTTGTCTGTGAAGCGCCGCCACTGGGATGGCAGGCCTGCCAGGCGCCCCTTCTGCCACCGCACAAACTCCTCAAAGAAGGTGTCCGAGGCAGAGGCTGCCTCCCAGGGGAAGTTGCCAGTCAGGACGCAGAAGATGAGCACCCCGAAGGCCCACACGTCAATGCTGGTGTCCACGGCGAAGCCTTCGGCCCGGCCGGCCTGGCACACCTCGGGCGCTGTGTAGGGTATGGTGCCGCTGATGCGCTTCACCCGGCAGCCCACCTTGCGGGTCATGCCGAAGTCGGCCAGCTTCACCCGGCGGCAGTCGCGGTCAAAGAGCAGTACGTTCTCCGGCTTGATGTCCCGGTGCACCAAGTTCTTGCTATGCATGTAGTCCAGGGCCAGGCCCAGCTGCTGCACACAGCGCTTCACCATGTCCTCGGGGAGGCCCACCTATAAGGGTAGACACAGCATATTAGCACCGGGCATGGGGATGAGGGGCAGGGGGTCACACGTGGAGTCAGACAGGCAGGCACTGGGGGTTAAGCCACAGAACAACAGAAGCGAATGGATTAACAGCAGGTTGGCTCTCCTGGGGACTGTCCCTGACTGCCAGGCCGCTCACAAGGTGTATGGGGCCCATCACAGACATGTCCTGTTGGCACATTTCAGGTCACACAAAGACTCTCCCCTTAGGAGCTTGAATTAAGGAGGTCCTACAATAATTCCTTTATCAGTGCTTAAGCTCCTCCTTCCCCAGGCCTCCATGTGCCCTCACACAGATGGAAGTGTGTCACTCCGAAATGGCACATGCCCCATGTTCCTGGTCACTGCGGAGATCACCGCCTGCTCCGAGCTCTGTCCCAGACCTGGCCGCACTATGTATCTCTTCTCTGGTCAGTATCTGGTAACGAGCTGCCCAGACCTGGCCGCACCATGCTCCATGACATGGAGCCGTGGCTCTCCTCTGAGGGCACATCCCCCATCCACTGTCACCCTCCAATCCCAGGTAAGGTCCCCTGCTCCCAGTGCTGGACCCATAAGTCAACTGGCAGCAGGATCTCAGTTGAGGACCTTCTCCCTGAGAGAGGCCAAGTCTGGAGAGCCACCTCAGCCTCTCCTCCTCCTGGGTCTCTCTCTAGGGCCTGTTAATCCCCAACAGACCGCGACACCCTGGGAGGGGGCATAGGTGCCGACTCCGTGGGTGCTCCAAGGCTGGAGCACCCATGGAAAAAAATTAGTGGGTGCTCAGCACCCACTGGCAGCCAGCTCCCCTCTGCAGCGCCTCCCACCTGCCTGCTGCCCCGCCGATCAGCACCTCCCCCGCCCTCCCAGCTCCTCCTGCCTGCCTCAATCAGCTGTTTCACAGAATCGCGTGGTACAGGAGGCGCTGGGAGGGAGGGAGTGGAGTAGGGATGGGGCACGCTGGAGGGAGAGGGTGGAACTGGGTGGGAAGAGGCGGGGAAGGGGCGGGGAAGGGGCAGGGTGGCAGTGGAGGCTTGGGGGAAGGGGTGGGGTGGGAGCAGGATCTGGGGTGGAGCGGGGGGTTGAGCATCCTCCGCGCCCGGAAGAAGCTGGCTGAGAAGAGCGATGGAGCTAGAGGGGCTGGTTGAGGAGGCGAGATGAAGGGTGCTTGGCCGAGGCGGTGTGAAAGGGAGGAGAGGAGGTCGTGGTGTCCATGTGGGAGCAGGGAGAGGAATTGCTTAAGGTGCTCTGGGGTTGGGCAGGGTAAGAGGAAGGAGACTGACAAAAGGGAAGTCTACGCTGAGCTTCAGGAGAAATAACTAAGGCAGAGAGGTCCAGAGGGACATACAATAAGCTCCCACAGGAAGTGGTGGCAGCTCCATTTAGCACGGGCCAAGGTCCTGGAGAACAACCCAACACTGGCCCATGGGTGGGAAGGGGATGGACTAGGTGACCTAAAAGGCCTTCTCCACCTCTAGCGTCTCTGACGGCAGCGTTGCCTCGGGTGCCTATCCATGTGCAACACAGAAGCTGGGTGGAAATTTGGAAACCGTCATCATCCTGAAATGGCAGCCAACAAACTGTCTCCCTCCCTCCCTCCCACACACCAAGGGTTTGAGGGGGTGATCGGGCGGCTGGGTGCGAACTGCCAGCCACTTGGGCAGGGCTGTGGAGTTCAGCAGGGGTGGGGATACAGTTCCCCTTCTTCTCCAGGGGGCAAGGTCCTTATCCCTCGCCACCATCTTGGAGACCAGAGCAGGCCTGGTGGAACCAGTCCAGAACCCATCCCACAGTGGAGATCTTAGCCAGAGCTCAGGCTAGTCTGAATCCCTGGGCCAATGGCAGACACCAACGCCAGCCTCCCAAAGATCAAACTGGTGAGGGGCACACAGGGGCTAGAATTTCCTGGGTCACAAAGGAGAGGGCATTTCAAGGACTCACCCCCCCCCACACACACACTTGTCTCTTGTACACCCTGTCTCTTGTCTTTGCTACAGCACCCGCTGAAGCTGTATAATCACATTTTCCTTTATTCGCTTTACATTACGATTTCATTACACTTCCAATTCAATTATGTCTAATTATATTTGGGGAGATCTCTTTCTCCTCTTTGGTCATCCTTTCTCCTTGGTTCTCTCTCAGTTCTGTCTGCTTATTCCTCCCCTCCCCCCTCGCCTTGTTCATTCAGTGCAGAGAGGGGAAATGTTTTATGATCAGAGCAAGCAGTACTATGTGTGCCGTTGGACTAGCTCGCCCCAGGAGATGGCTATGAACCCCTGGTCACTGTTGAACCCTCCCTGCTTTCGTAAGGATAATGAATCATAGTCATTAATTTCTTATTTTCATCTAGCATCTTTCAGGATCCCAAAGCACTTTGCAAATGGTGGAGACAAGAATCACTTAAATGCGGCCCCCTCTGGGGTGGGACATGCCAGCAGTTTAACAGCGCACAGCATCACTAGGCAAAGGTTTAGGACAGGAAGTGATGCATAATGCACCCAGTTGCAACTGCATGGCAAGCATAAGCAGGAAGGTTGTAGTGACCCCAGTTAGCATTTAACAGCCCTGCTCTTGTGAAAATTGCTACAGGCTCATTAACAGGACACAATTGGCCAAGGGCTCAGCTTTGTCTCATCTAAGGCATGCTGCCCCCAGGGGTGAGGTCTGATTGCAGAGTCGGGGGAAGAGCGCCACCTACTGAACACCCTGTATATGCAGGAGCCACTAACACCCGGGATGCTCCCAAGTCAGAGCTCTCCACTCACTCTCACCTTGCCCAGGTGTAAAGGAACCCACAAGGTGCTAGCAAGAGGAGAGCCAGACCCAGGAGCTCTCATACGGGAATGTCAGGGCTTTCCTGTGGAGGTATTGCACTCAGGCACCTGCCAGGCCTGAGCCTGGTATGCTGACTCCAGTCAGCACCCTTGCTTAGCACACGAGATCACAGCTGGAGGACAGAGTCTGCCTTTAGGTCTCTCAGTAGCAGAGGTGGGACGGGGGTCAATGGGGAAGAAGGTCTTCTCTTGTAGGATAGGGGTCTATTGTGCAGGGGAGCTGGGGCAGCCCCAGTTGAGGGCCATGGGTGTTAAAGCTCAGACTCTGGGGGCAGGAGAGAGGCAGTCCAGGGAAGCTTCCTAGCCGGTACCTGTGGCGGGATGATGTCAAAGAGGTCCCCACCAGGCGCGTACTCCTGAGCGAAGACGTAGCAATCCTCAGTCTCAAAGACCACGTCAAAGACCTTGATGATGAAGGGGCTGGAGGAGAGCGTGTTGGTGATGCTGAACTCCCGCAAGAAGTTCTTCAGCTTCGTCTTGCTCTTGTTCACGAACTTCAACGCCATTTTGGTGCCTACAGAGGAAAAGGCTCAGGAGAAGGCTCAGCAACATAGGACTCCTCCCAGACCAGTGGGGAGGTTGCGGCGGACACAACGCTCCCCCGAGAGCTCCCAAAGCCATGGCCCCCGGCTCAGGCACCACCCATCCTAGCAGTGCGGTCCCAGCAGGTGCTGCTCTCTGTATCAACCCAGCTCTACATGGCTCGTCAGGGCCTGGCCCACACCCACTAGACCTCTGGAGAGGCCTGTGCAGAAGACATTGGCCTTTGAGCACAAGGACTGAGATTTTCCTGTCCCTTGACCATTTTCAAGATTTTAAAAAATATTCCCATCCCAACTCAGAATGAAGACTTGAAATTTCAAAAAAATGTGCAAACTGAAAATCTGGAAAAAAAACTGATTCAGGTCAGTGGAATCGTTTCATTTCCATTTTCTCAATTTTTGTTTAACTCTCATTAGCTCAAATTTCTAAACAAAAAGTCATTTTGAACCAGAAAAGTGGAATTTTTCATGTCGAATTCTAAACTCTTTTTTTCAAAAATGTTTTGAGTGGAGAAGTTCATCGACGAAGCCCCTTTCCCAGGAAACGTATCCGTTTGGATGAAAAACATTTCATTGACAAATTCCTGACCAGCTCTGCTGGGGCCAGTAGCTAGGCAGGAACACTAACAGGAGCACCTGGCATCCTCTCCAAAGGGCTTTGCACCCCCAGAACTACAGAACAGTCTCAAAGCAGCAAGCCTGATCCATTGGGAGCTGTACAGAAGGGACCGCCACAGCCTCAGCACACCATGGAGACCTCCACGCCTATCCTGTCAGCTCACCGGGGGCAGAGGACTGTGGGCGTGCCAGAGAATAGCCCATGGAATGGCAGACAGAGTGGATCCCTGTGGCCACAGGCCCTGGTAAGAGGCAAGCAACAGGCCATGCCTGCTACTCTCCCAGTAGCTGGATGCCCCCGGCTGTGGGTTGGGGAGTGCACCCGTCATGCCAGTGTAATTTCTGCTAGCAAAACCCTTTGACTTAGACTGGAGATGTGGCGATAATAAGCCGAGACCCAGCCTGCTTCAGGGGTCCCTGTCTGAGCAACTCCTGACTCCTCCATGAGCTGAACCCAAGCTGAGGTACAGGAGCCTGACACTTCCTGCAGCTGGTGTGGCTGGAAATACCCCAAGGTGAGCCACTCCCAGTGGGCATCAGTCAGCCTGCAGCAGACAGGCACCAAGCCAAACAAGAGGGACAAGAATCTTAGTGCTCCCTGACCTGCTAACAGGTCTGGGCTGAACCTCAGATGGCTGCTCAGTTCCTCCACCCCAGCTGTCTCTCCCCTCCCCATCCAGCTGCTCCCAGCCCGTGGCTCGCTGAGCTGCCAACAAGCCCTGCCTGCCCAAATGCCTAGGCCTGGCCGCTAGGAGCTGAGCTGGCCTCACCTGTGCTTTTGTGGGACACCAGGTCCACCTTGCCGTAGGTGCCCTTGCCAAGCTCGCGGATGAGGTCATAGTGCTTGTTGATGTCGGTGCCGGAGAGGGTGCGGATGGCCAGCGACTGCATGTCCTCGGTGATCAGGGGCACCCCGCAGCAGGCCAGCTTGCGCGACGGCTCCTGCTCGATCGAGCCAGCACTCATTGTCGCACTGCAAGGCAGAGATGTGGTCAGGGGCATTGCCATATGCGGCCACGCCCGGGGGCCTGCCACGCACACTGCCTGGCTCCCAGCCACGCATTCGCTGTCATGTGTGGCGCTGGGCGGAGGGGAGCCTTGCCCACGGAGCCTCATGAACCACTAGGGGAGTCCTTTGGGGGCTGGGGAGGGCTGCCCCTGCAGGGGCAGAGACCCACTGTGCTGGATAATTCCCCACCCACGTTGTACAGAAACAGGCCCGCCTGTCATCAGTCTAAATTCCCACCCACTCCCTCCGTGGCAGTACTGGTCTTTGCCATCACTCTCACCCCTCTAATCCCTTTGCTGGCTCCCCCTTCTCCATCGCCAGCTCCAGAGCTTCAGAGCTCTGCCCTCCCTGCTCATCTGCCCAGGTGCCATCTCGTCAGCTCCGTCCATGGTGCCCCATTGCCCTCTTCGTCTGCGTCCCCCGTGGCCGTGCTTCCTTCCAGGCCACCCCCTATACATGGAGCGCCCCCTGCACCAAGGCTGGCCAGCTTCTCTAAATGCCCCCAATGGTCCCCTTCCTCCCACAAGGCCTGCCGTGGCTGTAGCCAATATCCAATGCACTTGTCGTGAGTCAACCGCTCACCTCCACAGAGGGAAAGGTCAAGCACTGGGAGAGGAGTCAGGATTCCAGGACTGATACAGGGAATTCCTGGTGGGTGGGGGGCACAGGAGGGGCTGAAATGTGTAATATAATGTGTATTGTGGTAGTGCCCAAGACCCTGTTGTGCTAGGTGCTGTACATTATTTATTAGGGGTATTACAGAAGCACCGAGGAGCCCCAGTCATAGATCAGGCTCCATTGTACTAGGTGCTTTATGTTATTTATTAGGGGTGTGACGGTAGCACTGAGGAGCCCTGGTCTCATTGTGCTGGGTGCTTTACATTATTTATTAGGGGTATTACGGTAGCACCAAGGAGCCCTGGCCCCATTGTGTAGGTGCTGTACAAACACAGAACAAAACAGTGGTCCCTGCTCCCAAACAGCTCAGTGTGTTTGACTTTATAGAGCTCCTAACCCCTTGTAAGTGAGCGGCCATGTCCCAGGATCACTCGGCCTGTGTGTTACACCCCTTTCCCTCTCCTCTCAGCTTTTCAGTCTGTCAGCTCCTCCCTGGCTGTGTCTGGAAGTGTGGACTTACGTTGCAAGTGCCCTGTGACAGGGCTTTCTCCTGGGGTCTGCAAGGTGTGGTATCACTCTGCACACATGTCCTCCTCCCTGGGGCTGGCTGTGAGCCACGCCATAGACAGTGGGGAACTCAGAGGGTCAGGGATAGCTTATTAGCAGAGGGAAGAGCAGGATCCCAACCAGTGGCAATGTCTCAGCTGGCTGGGGATTTCCATAGCATCACCCACAATGCTCTACTGTCACCCTCATTGTGCTGAGGTGGGACAGAGCAGGGAGGAAGAGGTGGCTGCTTACCAAACAGTGAATGTTGGGATACCACAATGAGGCTGTCTGGAAAGGCATTGGTGTAAGCACTAGAGGAGCATCTTTACTAAGGGTAGCCTACAGAGAGCAGCTGTCTGAGCAGGTCTGATTCCATCTAGCAGGGGGCAGAGGTGCATGCCCACACCCATGCTCTTGTCCAGCAGGATGGATGCTCTTGTGGCTAAGGTCTGGCACTGGGTCTCAGGAGATTGCAGTTCAATTCCCTGCTCTGCCATGGGCTCCCTGTGTGACCTTGGGCAGCTCCTTTGACCCCTCTGTGTCTCGGTTCTCCACCCACACAAGGTACAGCTGTAAGGCAAGGAGCAGCCTACACCAGAGGGTTTCAGAGCCTGGGTTTTCAGGCCTGTGCAGTGGCACTAGAAAGAACTGTGTAGCTGTACGGGCTCAGGCTTTGACCCCCTGATCCAGGGGAAAGCTCGCTGGAGTGGGGCTGAAGGGGCCTGAGCTGTGTTCCTCACTGCCACGGACTTGCTGCGTGACCTCGAGCACATCTCCTCACCTCACTTCCCCAGCTGTCAAAGGGGGAATTGTACCTCCTGAGCACTAGGAGATCTGTGTGTGGAAGAAGAGCTAAGTATCTTTCTAGCATTTGCTATACAATCTCTGCTGGGGAAAAGGGGGTGGAGGGGAAGATGCCCGGCGTTGGGGAGGAGGGCAGGCTAGCGAGGTGGATTTCTAAGGGGCCCACATACCAGAGGTTCTAGGCACCAGGAGAAAGTTACAGCTCTGCTGCTTGTCATTTGGGTTAGCTGTCATTGCCAATTCTTTAGCCTTCCCATAACACCGCATTACCCTCACCCTGGCAGAGAGGATCCAGATGCCAGCAGCACACAGCAAAAAACAAGATGCTGTTACTTATCCCCGCAAAACTGGCGGCATTTCTGTTCTGAAAGCAAGTCAGGGCACGGAGGCCCAAGCTGCCCTCCCCCCCCACGCACACAGTCACAGACAATTTCTGAGGGGGGCTGGTTTAGGCAGGATTCGGGCAGATGCAGTTGGGGCTGGCCAGGATCTGAAATCCAGGAGATCCTGGGTTATAAACGGGGAGCCTTTGCGCAGCAGCAAATGCATGATGAAGGCCAGCTGGTGCGTGGAGTTTTAAAGAGCAAAACCCCCCTGCTATGCCAACGGGTTTTCATTCACAGAAAGATAGGACCTGATTATGTAGAGAGCTGCCTCCAACACAATCCTAATCCCTTCCCCTAGGATAGCTGGTACCGCCTATGATCTCATAGCACCGGACAAAGAGAGACTAATTAAGCCTCACATCACCCCTCCGAAGCAGGATGGGATCTTTTATCCCCATTCTGCACATGGTGAAACCGAGGCACAGAGCGGTGATGTTAACTGCCTGGATTCACACAGCAAGGGTGAGGCAGAGAACCAGATTGCCCAGCTTCCAGGCCTGTGCTCACACCACTAGGCCATCCTGTCTCACAGCATTAAATACTCAATCACCTACAGTGATTCTCTCACCAGCTTGAGTGTAGCAAGGACTAGTGTTGATATGCTGCAGACTTTGGATGCTATGGTGTGCTTCCTATAAAGGAAAATAGTCTGTGCCCCCTCCCCTGGACCTTCCCCCTCCACACATACTGTGCTGCTGCTGCTACAGGAGAAATCATAGAATCATAGAATATCAGGGTTGGAAGGGACCTCAGGAGGTCATCTAGTCCAACCCCCTGCTCAAAGCAGGACCAATTCCCAACTAAATCATCCCAGCCAGGGCTTTGTCAAGCCGGGCCTTAAAAACTTCCAGTCAGCCACTGCAGGGCCAGCTGTGTAGCTCATGGCCCATCTGTATACAATGTGACAAAGCTGCTTTCTCAGTTTGCTGGCTGTCTTAGGGATTTGGTAATGGGCTGTAGAATTTTTCACTACTGGGTTACTGGTTCAAATCCAGCCCAGATCTGTGCTTATCCCATGAAATGGTTGAGTAGGGGTCTCCGCCACTTCCTCCCATATCACAAAAACACCACTGATTGCCCCCTTCTTGGTAGTCTCCAAAGGTTAAATGAGGACTGAAGAGGGAGCTACTGCCTGGCCCGAGCAGCAGGTACAGGGGTGGTTTGCAGAGAGGGTTGTACAGCTGCTGAGGATAATCCAAGCATTTCATGCTCCAGGACTGTCCTGTGGCTGGGTGCCCATCGACTGCACAGAATTCACTCTGGAAATCGCTTTAGTTAACAGCATTTGGGCAGAAGAAACCAATGCTGCAGTAAAACAAGCCCAGAGACAGCTTCCTGAGCGGGGTGACATGGCTCCTGCTACGAGGTAAGAAGCAACAAGCCCAGCGTACACAAACTGACCAGAGCCCATTGCTACCCTCCACCAAGGAAACCTGGGCAAGGGAAGATCGTGAAATGAAAACACAGAGATGCCCCCGCCTCAAGTCATGTTCTGACACGCTGCAGCTAATGTCCTCCCCGGCTGGTGTGCAAGAGAGGTGTGTGACTGCCAAGGAGTGCACGGGTGTGTACAAATGCAAGAGCGGGGGAGGGGAGTGTGAGAGGGATGTGTTTAAGTGCATGAGAAGTGTGTGTTGCAGAATGCCCGGGTGGGGTGAGCAAGAGAGGGGTGCACCGTGTGTGAAATCTTCCTGGTATGCCTTCCCCCCCTCCCTGGGACAGAAGCAGGGTGCACCTTGGTTTGAGTTGTGTGCTATTGCTCTTCCCCTTGAGCTGCTCTCTTCTTGGGCAGGTCCAGAAGCGATGTAGACGATTGAATCTCTGCTCATCTTCTCCCACAACATTTGCCTCTGAAGGGCCCTGAAGGGAGTGTAAGTCCCACTGGGGCTGTACCAAGCTCCCAAGTGCTGGGTACCCAGGGGTAAAGTGCCCCAGATGCTCAGCTTCTGGCTGCAGAGGCACCTGGGCTTTCCCCCATGCACTGGCCCTGCTCATTCTGCATTTCCCAAACCGTCTGTGGGGGTTCTCGTTGGGGAGTGCAAAGGGGAGCCCTTGAGAGCACTGGATAGCCAGAGCCCCCAAGGCAAGGCTGAAAGGCCATTTTCCAAAATGCCACTGATCTTGGAGACCTCCATTTTTGGGAGCGCCTGACTTGGGACACCAGGGGCTGGTTCCCATTGGTGCTGAGCTCCTGGCAGTTCTCATCAGAGTCAAGGGGAGAGGCAGGAGGTGCTCAGCCCCTGGGAAATCAGGCCTCAAGCTATCACAAGTCAGGTGACCAAGCTCAGTGGCCACTTTGGCCTAAGTGGCTGGGCTGCCTGTGATTGCTGTAGTACCGTATGGCCCCTGCCATTCTAGAGCTCTGTGGAGCGAGAGGGGGCTAGGAAGTGGCCAAGTCCAATTGGCAAACATGGGGCCAGTTCACCCCCAGGAGATGACATCAGCGGGAAGTACTGGTATTCCGCAGGAAGGGAATCAAGCCTTGGGAACCACCACTGTGCTGGGGTGTTTGCCAGGCTGTTTCTTGCTCTTCCCAGGCTCTGATGCTGCTTTGAGGTGGTGGGGGGATTGTCTGGGGCACAGAGGGGCATGGGCGGAGGAGAAATT